TATACAATATGTACTGAGAATGACCCATATTTGGAAGCTATCAGACTAAATTATATTTGAAATAGTGAAAATAAGGACGAATTTGATACATTTAAAAAGATTAGACTCAGGATAGACTTGAAGATTGGTGAGTTGATTATTTCTACGAAAAATTGACTAATGATGAAAATTTCATAGAACAAACATCACCGTCCATCTTAAAAATTGAGAGCTTGACAGAAAACACGCATTATTAGTGTGATGATCACTTGGTTCAGTTTTACACACAGAAACCACAAAAGTTCTTCAAAGGTCTGATTTGAAGTTTGGTAAATTGACTTGTCCAGTGATAATTCAAGGCCTTTAATAAAGAGCCTTTGTTTGTCGAACTATAACCTTTGACGTTTGATTTTCTATTATTTAATAAACAATATGTACTGAGAATGGCCCATATTTGAACATTATCAGATTAGATTATATTTGAAATACTGAAAATAAGGACGAATTTGATACATTTAAAAAGATTAGACTCAGGATAGACTTGAAGATTGATGAGTTGATTATTTCGACGAAAAATTGACTAATGATGAAAATATTGATGAAACAAACATCACCGTCCATCTTAAAAATTGAGAGGGCTTGACTGGAAAGTCTTAACGCATTATTAGTGTGAAGTTCACTTGGTTCAGTTTTACACACAGAAACCACAAAAGTTCTTCAAAGGTCAGACTTGAGACTATTAACTTGAAGTTTGGTAAATTGACAGATTAGATTATATTTGAAATAGTGATAAATTTAAAAAGATTAGACTCAGGATAGACTTGAAGATTGATGAGTTGATTATTGACTAATGATGAAAATTTGATGAAACAAACATCACGGTCCATCTTAAAAATTGAGAGGGCTTGACTGGAAAGTCGTAACGCATTATTAGTGTGAAGATCACTTGGGTCAATTCTACACACAGAAACCACAAACGTTTTTCTGGAAGTTTGGTAAATTGACTTGTCCAGAGATAATTCAAGACCTTTAATAAAGAGGTTTTGTTCGTCGACTTCAGTATTGACTAATTAAATAATATATTTTTTTCAAAGGAAAACTTTTGTAGTTTCTAAAAGGTGAATGTATTGTATTAAATCCGTACGCCACCCACCTGTCGATAAAATCTAAAGCACTCGACAAGATAAATTGAGCGGATTTTTCTTAAGAAACATAACGTCACGTTAAGACGTTTGCTTCTCTATGATTTAATGAAGAACTGTACCTTCTGGGAAATTCTTGAGAATGCTCAAGGTAGGTATTAGACATTTTAATGTAAAGCATTTTTAATTGGGAAAATCGGATTGTTATCATTATTCTAACATAAGTAAAATCTCCAAAGAACATTCTTTAGAAAGTTCAAGAAGCTCCAATGCAATAAAACAAAAGATCATATTATACACACTAATTCTGATTTTATGCATTCGAAAGACCTCTTAATATATCCTGAGACATAATTAGAAATGTCTTCAGGTAAAAGAGAACAACGCGACGTGGAATTGTAAAATAGGGAGACGCTTTATACCTTATGCCTTATATTATACCTACCCTACCGTGCCACCTTGCTACTCCTTTGTAAGCTCTCAAAAGCTCTAACGACGAGACGGTGGAATTTAGAAATAAACAAAAAACAATTAAAGAAACACTCCTTCCTTTATTATCTCTACAATCTTTGTATTATTATTATTTGTATTGCAGATGCAGATGAAATGATTGTACTATAAGTCTGACCGGACGGGGTCAGGATAAGACTTAGAACTTTAAACAGAGGCACAGTAAGGGATGATTGTTGTTTTGCTCGCCCGAATGAAACGCTATCTAAAGACTGACGTAGATTATCATTGACTGGCTGCGGTTTCCTGGGACTGGCAAACTTACTCGATGACGAGCTCTTTGTACACACCCTCACATTGTCGCCTATCTGATCTAATGAATTGAGACATTGAAAAGACAGCTCGTCTCTGCTCTATTTCAAACTCTCTTCCGATAGCGGCCTCATGCCGACACAACTTAACTGGCACACATTTAATTTTGTACAACTTTAATCTAATAATTAAGTTATTCAACCTTCGGCTTTCCACACGTCACTCAACCACCCTTAACTTTATCTAACTGGATCGAATTGTACACTTTTGAACCCGAGCATCAAAAAATCTTTTCAAGGTCAAGTTTTTAGCTATGATTGAATTTAACCATTGATGAAAAACTCCTATAGCGAAAAACTCATTTTTAAAGCGACCAAAACAAATGAGAGGTTTGGGCTATACAATGGAAATGGTTCAAAACTGTTTATTTAAGAATGTTTATTTTAACTTTTTTCAGGATTTTCAATCAGCAAGTTGTTATTATCTATGATTTCTGATCACCTTAAACTTTACATTTTTTACCTGACTTTGAGCTTTTTAAGTTGCCATTTAGTGTTTGCTCAGAAGGTTAGTATTTTTAGAAATCCACAAAAAAACTAGGTTCTTTAATTGTTTGTAATATAAATTTGGAAACACCGCTAAATAGTGCAAGATGAAGGTGCCTAAAAATTTTGAAAAATTTCCATATCTTGTGAATTTTTGTAAATTTGGCATCAATGTTATATAGTGCAAGATGTCTTATTGAACAATTAAAAAAATCCCAGTTTCTGTAAATTTTTGGAAATTTGGCAACAAGGTAAAATATTGAAAGATGACTTACTGAAGGTGCCTAAAAATTTTGAAAAGTTCCCATATCTTGTGAATTTTTGTAAATTTGGCATCAATGTTATATAATGCAAGATGTCTTATTGAAGGATTAAAAAAATCCCAGTTTCTGTAAATTTTTGGAAATTTGGCAACAACGTAAAATATAGTAAGAAGACTTTCTGAAGGTACCCTAAAAATTTTGAAAAATTTCCATAACCTGGGAATTTTTGTAAACATTTTGCAACAATGTTAAATTGTGCAAGATGAATACTGAAGGATTAAAAAAATCCCAGGTTCTGGAAATTTTTGAAAATTTGACAACAATCTTAAATAGTGCAAGATGACTAACTAAAGGATTAAAAAAATTCCCAGGTTCTGGAAATTTTTGGAAATTTGGCAATAACGTTAAATTTAACATGATGACTTACTAAAGGCAACTTGAAGATTTAAAAAAATTCTCAATTTCTGGGAGTACACAAAAATTCTAGGTTCTTTAAATTTTTGTATATATAAATTTGGCAACATCGCTAAATAGTGCAAGATGACTTACAGAAGGTACACTAAATTATTTTGGAAAAATCACACATCCTGGGAATGTTTGTAAATTTGGCAACAATATTAAATAGTGCAAGATGACTCACTAAAGGTATCCTGAAGATTTGAAATTCCCAAGTTCTGTTTTTTAAGGAAATTTGGCAACACAGCAAAAACAAAAATCCCAGAAACGGTGACTTTTTAGAAACGTCGCAAATAATCCCATTTTTACTTTAAATAAGGTATTTTTATTAAAAATAGTACAATAATCCTTTAAATTAAAGGATTTAATGCTGGCAGGTAAAAAGTGACCAATTGATAATAATCACCGAATGAAATAATTTATAAAACTTAAACCAAAGAAAACTTAAATATTAATTAAGAAATCGTGGTTACTTAAAAAAATCAGATTTAATTTAATAAAATAATTATTACCAAAAAAAGTGATATTTTTATAGAAAAATTATTGCAGAATCGTATACAGAAGAAAAATCGAACAAAATTGATTTTTTTTCATTACAACGCCATCTATTACAAATATGAAAAAATGTTTTAGACAAAATCTACCTTTTTTAATCAATAATCATTTAATTTTTATTTTAAAATTTGTTTCGTAAAATGCATACTAACTGAGATATTTTCATAAGTTCACCCTGTATATATGCCAGGATTTTCAGAAAATAATACGAAATTGGTGTTAAATTGACCGCAATTATTTGAACAAAATTACTTACAATTATTTTATTACTCTATTGCATTTAAATAAAAAATTACATCATCATATAAATTACATATTTTTTGTAAAAAATTCTCAGCTTTTAGAAAAAAATATCAAATTTGAAATAAAAATCGCAATTTTCACTTTAATTGAATTTTTGAGGATATATCTTTTTGAGAGTATCTAGAAAAAAATTCAAAAAAAATCTGTGGGGGTCACACTCTAAAAAAAATATTTGGTGGAATGACCCATATATTTATATTAAAAAATAAATTTTATACTTGCCGTATTTGGACTTCTTGTCATCTGAAATGGAGGAAGTGTAGGATTAGTAAAGATATGGCAGGAAATCTTGTTTGGGAATTTTTTTTTATTTTTATTATGTACATAGATACATTTTGTAAATATAGAACGTAAATTTCAACAAAAACTTTAAAAGGAGTATCATATACATTGCATTCACAAAGACATGGCCACAGTCTACGACACAACAATTATTTTTTATTAAGTATGTAGAATAACACATTTTTATTTGAGTGTATTTAATACGCTCATTTATTTGATTAATAAACGTAACAGTTTAATACAAATTATTAATTAATTTTTTTAACAATCTTTGGTACAATAACTTTTCATAAAATCTTAAAGGGGCTCGATACATTTAAAGAATATTAATATTATTATATGTACAAGTCGATCCTAATGTGTATTCTGGGTTGCGGCACTATACATACGAAATTTGTTAAAACTAAATCACATTGAGTACTAAATAATAACATAAATTATGTCCCATTGACAAAGAAGTAATATTTTCTACAACCATTAAACCAAACACAAAAATGGCTTACTTGTAATCACCTGCACGCGAACCTTATAGTTTACATAACGCAGCCCCACAAAACAAAATTGCGTGTCCGAAGGACCACTCCAACCTCAAAAAACCGTGGTCCGCCGGACATCTTTGCGGAGCTGTGTACTTATTGTCTTAACACTAATTTTCAATAACCCCCTTAAAACTGTTATCATTAAAACTTACCTGTCAAAGGATACAGTACGGTTTAATCGCGCTCGGCGTGGTGGTACTGCCCGGCCGCCTGGCCGTCGAACAGCGACATTTTCAACCTCTTGCACTTGGCCCTGCGGTTCTTGAACCAGAACTGCACGTTTTTCGGCTCCAATCTGGGAAACTTCTGCCTGTAGGCCATGCAGTTCAGCTCCTCGGTGTACTTCAGTATCAAGTTGTGCGAGGGGTGCGTGTTCAGAGAGAACCACTGCTCCAAGCGGGGCACCTCCGTCACCGGGTCGATGAAAGTGCGGTTCCGCTTCCTGCGCTCGTCGGCGGTCAAGCCGGACATGCCCAAGGCGCTGGATCCGGGCGGCGAGGTGGCCGAATGCGACAGTCCCGGGATGTAGTGGCTCATGTACATGATGCTGTGGCTGAACATCGAGTTGGGCACGATGGGGAAGCCGGCCGCGATGCGCTCCAAACCGTCGCGCGGGATCAGCTGCGTTTCTTCCGGAGAATTGCAGAAGCGCTGCGATAATGAGTGACTTTTCGACTCCGTTTCGGCCTCGATGTCGTCCTCGATGTCGGATTGCGGCGACAGTTTGTTGTTGTTCATGTGATCGCCGCCCGGGGAATAATTGATCGGCTGATCCTCTTTGGGCTCTTCTTTGCACTGCTCAACCTGCAACGAACGTCTTGATAAATATTTAGTAAATATTTAAGTCTGCTGTGTAACTTACTTGTATGTCTGGCGGAGGTGGTGGGCTATTTTCCCTGGACTCCCTTTTCGTGGTCAGAGATAACGGCAGAGACGGACTCGAAGGTTGACCGTCGGCCATCTCTTCGTCATCCAAATCGGAACCGGCGTTCGAAAACTCATCGGAAGTGTGCGAGTTGTGGGGGCCTCGCTTGGAAAAATTCTTGATTCTATGATCGGTCAACCGCTCGGAGTTCAAGTAACCATCGGACAGCAAAAATCCCGTACCGTTGGTCGGACTATGGTTGTTGTAACCATTCACCGACATGTGACAGGGTAGATTCGGCGTGTTTCTGATTTCGGCGCGTTTTTGTGCAGCACGGGCGTTTTTGAACCAGTAGACGACGTTGTTGACGTCCAACGGTTTGCGACCTCTGCGAGATTCGAGACTGTTCAATTCTTTCACGTACTGCTGTATTTGCTGTCTGCTGGGATGCTGATTCTCGGTGAACCATCTCTGGAGCTTCGGAAGTTCCAGTTCCGGATCGAAGCTCGTTCTCATTCGAGTTTTCTGCGTTGGAAACTGGCTGTGCACGGTTTGCATGGCCGGGTGGCCGGCTTCCAGGGAGCGGTCCAAAGGAGCGGGCACGGTAGGTGGGACAGAATACTGGCTGGGATAGGTGGGTACGAATTGGGATCGGGCTACGGGGGACTGAGGGCTGAATTGTTGGCTGGACCACCATTGATCGAATTTCCTTCGGTTTTCCTCGGATATTTCTGGTATGGAACCAGATGGGTTAGAATTGTTGCGGCATATTTGCGATACCATGCTCTAGAATAGGAGAATTTATCGATGGTTAAAGTTCGAAATTTATTGTGATGAATTATAATATTGTTTTTGTGTGTGTTTTTTAATTCAAAAGTATGACGAGTTTACTTATCGTTTTAAGGTTTAACAACAGTTTTATTTGATGTGTTTTTAATTAGAAGGCTCTAATTGCGTGTACGTTTTTAATTCTATAAAGCATAATAAATTGCATAAAAATACAATAATGGATACGACATTAAATTAACACGGTGTAAAGGGGCGATTATAAAACGTTTTCGAGTTTAACTGAGTTTTGTGGAACGATGTAGTAACAGAAAGGAGGAGACATATTAGCAAATGTTTGTGATTGTGCAGGTTTTTAGGGCGAGATTAGGGTACTTTAACAGAGACGTTGGTAGCAATGTTTCGTAGATTTATCTCAGGTTCAGCTAAATTCAAATGTTATGTTATGATTTATAAGCCGTCGTTAGCCTGGCAGAGGAGCGGAGGAAAGCGGAGAAAGAGATTTTGCCTTTCCCGCTCGCTCCACACTTATTTTTGATTCAGAAGTTTGCTTTTGTGGACAGATACTGAACTTATAAACAGGGCATAACTCTAATCCGACGTTAATAAATACCAAAGCAGCCTTTCACTTCCAAATTCGCAAATAAATTACCATTTAAATCATACCGGATAAATTAAATCCACCACATCGCTACTTAATTACCACCACACATTTTATACTCTTAAGCACCTAATTATACACAGCTTTAAACTCAATACCTTACTTTACTTTTACAACTAGCATTTTTTCCGATCGTAATCCCTAAACAGCTTATTATTATTATACTAGCCTGAACTTAATCCTCTTTTGGTATAATCATTTCAAATCCAAACGATTGAAATTGCGTTATTACAAATTAACAAACAACCGAACTCGTTGCTTTTTTTCGGGGCAGATTAGTTTGGTTTAGTTGTTTGAGTGTTATCGGTCTGTCGGTGCGCCTACGCATAGGCAACGGCGGTAGCAGCAGCAGGATTCGTTTATTAAAGTAAAGCGGTTATGAGTCTGCCGTCTTAAGAATTAAAAGGAGAATAAATGTATTAAGGGTGCAGAGAATAGCAGTAACCTCGCTTTTAATAAGATTATGTAGCATTATTTTATGGTATTAATGAGATCAAAAGCCTTTTACATCATACAGCAATGAGCAGATACAAAAATCCCCAACTAGAAATACATAAATTTCTACAATTAATTGAGGACGAACCGATGGATAAAGGTTAAAATATTGTTTGTCTACCTACTAATTAACAGTTTACAACTGGTTTTTTATACTAAAATAACACACATAAACATAATGAAAAATAGTAAACATAGTTTTACCATAAAACTATTTTTGCCCTTTACTAGACTTCATAAGTGCCGGATAGCCGTGGTGCAGAATCCTGCTGTACGGCAGATGGAGCTTTATAAGCACCATGACTACCCGGCACTGATTAGGTCTGTTCGTGGAGGCACCCTTGAAACAAAAGCGCGGTGACAGTTTTTATGGGAATTATAGGAACTGTACACAGCTTTTTTTAATTTAATAGATTATTATTTAATTTGGACTGCTCTGATTTAACCTTTATAATGAATTGTGCAAATAAGTGGTCGGTAAATTACAAATAAACCAATTGAAAAAGTTTATGTGGCTTATCTAACACTATTTGCATTAATATTTATCCAATGATTTGATTAAACTTTCGGGATATAGTACATTATTAATATGTTTTGTATAAATCTGGGATTTATACAATTAATGCCAAAATAAATCTTTTTGGCTAATAAATATATATATTGCTTTTTGTTTACATATGAATTACATTGCATAATATCATTTTGGATAATCCCTGGAATATTGGAATATATCAATAACATTATCTGCCCTTAGATAACACATAAGCGTTTTAATCACCAGTCGTGTTTTTATTGCTTATTTTAATTATTTAAATAAAGGGAACAAATCAAATTTGAGATTAACACGAGCACGGTCAGCACTTCAAATTTTATTTTATACAAAAACACATTTGTTTGCTTATTAAATTTATAATCGTCATGCGTATAATTGGTTTTTAACGAATAAAATAAAAATGATATGGATAATTACATTAAGTACCGTATATAATTTATTATCGTATACACAGTATAAAGGACATTATCAGACAGGTTTACGCTTACGAATACGAACATTTCCATAAACATCATCATAAAAAACAACAATTATTTCAATTAAACTTGTACTAACCTCATCCAAAGGGCATCCAGAGGATAACAGCAACCCATGGCTTTGCACCAACAAAAATCTCAACAGCTTGTCCTTGATGTCCGACAACGTTCCGGGCCTTCCCCTAAACACCTGGATCCTCAGAGTGGCCACCGTGGACAGTTCTCCCAAAATATCTCCCACGGTAATCAGAGGATCATCGGATATTTGATCGAAACTCAAAGCCTTCCAATTTTTAATAACAATAGCTCCTTTAGCCGCAGCAGCGCTCTCCCCTGGATAGCCAAGTCGCAGGAGTGCGACCTGCACCAAATTATGAAACGGTGTGCCGATCGGTATGATCACGTAACTGTCGGTCTCGATTTGAGGTCTTCGCCTCCAAACTCCGTGATTTAATGTGCGCGTCTCGTCCAACGTGCAGATCGCTTCCACGATACAATGCACTGGAATCGATTTACCTGGAACAACAACGACAATCTACTAAAAATAAATCATTTATGTGGATTACAAATTATAGAGGCCCTGCAACGCCTCCTTGTGGAACACCGACAAAGATGACGCCGGTTAAACAGGTTTAGAACAAATGCAATTAATTCAAAGTTGTAACATTTTTTTAAACGACTCTTTTAATATTTACATTTCATATTTTTTATTTGTTAACTGTATAAAATAATGTCAAAACTTTAGAGACTTTATATTGTGTTGGAGCAAGGTGAGATAATAAGATTGTCTGAAAAGAGCATTAATTTGGGGTATCGGAGTTAAGCAAATGATCCGTCAGAGTAAGTTAAAAAAAGATCTCGAGATAAGTAGCGCGGAGGGAAAGTTTGGTTGGGGAGGTGCAAGTGGAGGCCAACAAGGCAGATGATCGCGCGAGTGAATTAAATGGAAACGTGTAAAGCGGAAAAGTAACCCAGCAGTGATAAGAAAGACAGACAGATCAATTGATAGCGTTGAACAGATGACAGTTAATGTAGCGTTATACTAAGGCGTTCTTCATTTCCTTTGCACCTAAAATACGAACAAGTTTGCTCGGGTTTTCCTATTCTACTTTTGCTAAGACTTGATAACGCACTTGGGTAAGGCGAATAATGATCGAACAATATTAGCCTCAACAATACGTTGAATTTTCTCTTTATTCCATTGATTTGTTTAGTTATAGAAAATGACACGTAGTAAGAAGTCATAGGGTGGGGGTGTGTACCGACATCACAGCAAAGTCAAGTAATAAAGCCGATGCTACGGGGACGGCATTAGAGCCGGTGGTCACCCTGTCTATGCTAATCTTGTTAGGCTAAGAAGGTTTCTGCATATTAGAGAGCTTTAACCGAAATAACCTAGTGTCTTACGGATTAGTTGAGTTGACTTGAGCTTAGTTGGACGGGTGCGACACAAAGCAGGAAAGTTTGTGACGTCACTGAAAATAAGGCAGTAAGCGGTCTTAATTTCCAAGTTGGCAAGTTATTTTGGTTTTATTAAGTCAGACTGGCCGGCCGACCGGTCTTACGATGCAGATGTGGCGGCGGTATAAGGAAAGGCGGCGGCGGCGGTGGTTGCGGCGGCAGAGGAGGCAGCAGCGTATACACCGTTCGAGCGACTCAACTCTAAATCTCGGGGATCCGGCTGCTGGATCCGGTCTGGACCTAATCCTGTCGGCTTACCGCGCTCTGTATAGTCCACTAGTCGCTAATCCCACCGGCTGTAATCCAGGCGGGCTGACCAGCGTCTTAACTGGGGCTCATATTGCCTTCCGGTCCTTTGTTTTAGCCCGGTTGATCAATAATGCAACCTTATAAATAATAAGACCAACTATAATAACTATGTTATGGAAGGAAAGGAATAGACTAACTGTGCGGTATAGTAGATAATTGTGGCTTATTCTCTCCTCTTTCCTTCTCTTCTCTTCACAACTAAACTGAAAATCACGCTTCTACATTTCCTCCTGTTATTGCCCTAATTAATTCATCCTTTTGCAAATCAAAATTCAAATTACACGCGATTATGTTGAAAACTAAGACTTCCACATTACGTGCCAACGTACATACGCATTTATACCCCACTTACTTAGATACCAAGCAAGCTACTAGTACTGCGGGGATTACGTGTGTATTCCCTGGCTTTTCCATTGTTGAGATAAGCGCGCCGTTTTTACGTTTACACTGATATTCTTCCACATAGTTAAGGCCACTCACTGTGGATTACAAAAAATCCATTCACAATGCCGGTACAAAGGGCACGCTGCTCTTAACGGATTAAATTTTTTTCTTATTTGCCGTAATCTCTGTACGACCCAATCCGGCTGATGATGCTTTTTAAATAAAGGGCAAGCGGGCCTTAAGTATTAAACAATATTCCGCAAAGAGCCACTTCTTAGTGGTCGCGTTAACGTTAAAGTGAAGCCAAAGCGTCTTACACTACAGCTTATTTCTATCCATTTTCTTATTAGCTTAAGTCTTGTTAGTCCAAAGTTTTAATTCGCACAAGTTGCCAGCCTCGCTGCTGGATCCTGACGAACAGTGAAGTGGGAGAGGACGGAGATATAGATAGTTAAATTTAAAAGCTCCGAATTGGGCTTTCGAACCCGCAATACTGTTTACAATAAGGCCTGTGCCCCGTTCACCGTTCCGCCGCTCTCGTGCTAATACGATTTCACGCTGGATTAAAGACGGGGATTTCTCAGCATCTTCGCCATCTACTCAACACTCTCTCACACATTTAAAAAATGAATTCGACGAGGCTCATGTATGATTCTCTCCCCTCTCTCCTCTCTCCATTCCCCTTTCGCCCGCAGGAGCAGTCCGGTTGGGTTTTGTTTAATTACATAGTTTTATGGCCGATTGGCATTAGCCTTTAATCCAGGTCAAATATTAAACTCTCGTCCACGAGCTCTCCAGATCGCCAACAGGTGGTGAATCAAGCCCTTAAAATTGATCTCTCTCTTTACCGCCCCCCTTTACTACCTTACCGGAATCTTTTATTAATCATTTTAATGAAAAGATCAAGCAAAGAACTCCTCTCTTAATACTCCTTATGTTTATTTTAAAGAACCATTAAAATTCTTTAAGAAACAAAAGAAAGCATTAAGCGTAAGCGGATTTTTGGTAATAAGCCATATAAATTAATATAATCACATTAGCCCTAGAAACGAATCTAAAGAGTCTTAATTTTTTCTTTCATCGTTTGTTCCATATTTGTATTTACAATATGACAGTACTTTTGCGAAGCCTTACTTTTTAAATGAATAATCTGTAACAAAATCCACCTTTCACCGACTGAAAATCGTGTTTAATTAGGTAAATGTAGCGACATTTATTTTTCATTGCTTGCTGTACAGGCATTTTTATTTTATTAGGGAAAATAATGTGATCGTTTAATTGCTGAATGTCATATATCCACAATTAGTCCACCCTGCGACTCATGGATCTACAGTCCAAGACCCATAAGGAACAGAAAAAAAAACGAGACGCCAGAATGCTAACATATTTTTTCTTCTTTTTGATCTATGAATTTATCTAACTAATCATTTCAAATAAACAAGAAAATAATAAACTGCCGAGTCGCCAATATGCTTAATCTTGGATTAAAAAAAAAAATTACTCGCCCAGTGATTATACCAGCGACAAAAAAATGGTCCTTCGAACTTTTTGCTAACGCTGGTAGGTGAGCATTTTTTGTTTGGGTCTCAATTGTTACTTGACTGCAGTCCCATTAGAATGGGGGAACATGTTTCAATTTATTTCTTATGATCCGTTGCTACGTAAAAGAAGAACAAACAAACACTTCGCATTTATATTAGGTTTGTTCCAGCGAGCATTTGGACTGTCGAATTTACTATTATGTCCATTATTATGTCCATTTGACAGTCCGAATGCCCGTTGGAAACAACCCTATTATTATTAATAGTTGGGATATAGGTTTTTCTTACTATTTATTTCTAGAACTTTGGGCAGTCGACTACGCCATCTGTGGGTGCTTATCTCGGCAGAATCACTTATCTGTCTCCTTCGGAAGTAGCTATATAATAGCTAAAGCGGCGCGATCCGTGTCATTTTCAAATGCCCCGTTTCGGATTAAGTTTCCACCTCTTCGCAATCAGATAAACCAATAGAACACGCAGCCTCTAATTACCGTTGCACGCTTTTTTAAACGTCCCGATGATTTTTTTCCTTACGAGCCGCGGTAGTAGTCTTTTCGGTCAGCATTCGTTACGTGCTCTGCCGAGCCGGATTCAAAGGGATCAACGACGGAAGCAAACAAAAGCGGGGGACGGAGACTAGTAGTGCCCCAGGCTCTCGGATTACCGACACTCTGATACTCCGCATCCGCCTTCGAACTGATAAAACTAATTCTTCGATTCGCGCCAATTTTCACGCCAATTATTGCGAAGCAGATCACCTTGGAGACACTTTGAGGGCTTAGTCGGGATCAGACGGGCCACGCTAATCTGCCGATACGTTGAGGTCGCACGACGACGCTTTGACGCTACCGCGGCGGCGGCGGCGGCGGCGGCGACCACGGTATCGCCATCAATACAACCGTAGCAAACCTGTTTGGCTCGATGCGCCTGCTTAATTCTTAATCCCAATAATATAATGATCGGGGATTAAGTTCGGCTATTGGTGCGTGTTATCGCTATTTTACACAACCATACCGGGGATATGTTGCTCCTTTTCAATCCCCTCACTAATCCCGGCTTAAAATAAACCTTTTATCTCACGGTTTTTTATTTTTACTATTTTGTTGCATTAAATGTTCAAAGCGATTTAATGTGTGGTGCATCAGATTTAGCATTTGAGTTCTTTGAGATAATGATTTTATTTGGTATTGTCCAGCTCTTTTTTTCAATTTGAAGCTAACTCCAGCCCGTTGGATAATGAACAATCAGGAAAATTATTTTGATGCAATAATAATAATTATTATTCAATCCATGTACATAAAAATTGAAATAAAAGGGTTGAGGTGATTTAATGGATGTGGGCATGGTTTTGAATATTTATTTGTTCAAAGAGCTTAACAACTTATAAATTTATTGTGTTTTAACGTAATATTTAATTATTTTATTAAAATACTAAGCTTCTGTATTTTGCAAGTATTATTATTTTTAAAATAAATATCGACGTAAACAACAGTAAAAACCAATAAAAATATTAACATATTACAAGGTGTATAACACGATTGATAATGCATTATGGAAATAAATAGTGAATCCAACTAATTATGTGTGTTTTGTGATAGGCACAGGTCAAAGTTCTTTCTTTTCGATGGAAAAATTATCTTAGATTAAATGAAATAGGATTTTTTGTGAACCAAATTTTATTTAAAGCTGACCGTGAATGACCTTTTTTCCCTGTATTGCTATAGCAATGGGTTATGTTTTTTATTTTTTTTCTTTTCACATTTGATCCCCCGTGAATGTTAATCCCGCGCGAGCCTAATCCTCCACTTCCCGTCTCAAAGCAGGAGGAGGCCACGGTCCCCCCCTAATCCCGGCTTCCTCTAATTCCCTACCTTCAGCTTAATCCAGCTTAAACTGGCCCACCGATGTTTCTCACTACTATTTCAGGCGCAATTATTTACAGATCCGTCACGATCGGCGAATACATTTTCCAAATTAACCGAATCTCCGATGCACCAGAATCGAAAAAAAATACACATACAGCCATTCCATCGCGCTGATCCCTGTGTAATGTTTATCCGCTAGGAGGCCGGTTCAGGCATACGCGACCGCTCACCTCCGTTCCCGCCAACCCCGGCTGCCCCCCAGCGAAAGGGTCGGATTGAAAGGGATTCCACAGCGTTAAGCAGATTATCTGCTCGTGGCTCATGATTGATGAAACGGCTGCAACCGGCACACACAAAATCCCGAACTGAAACCAAAACCATTCCGACAATACAGTAACAACTATTTCATCAATACTGCATTTCATATCCTACCTAGCCCCATTGATATTGTCCCCAATAAAAACATACCTTTCATCTTCCAAAATTTCCTCCTCATGAATTTAAATACTCACAAATAATAGTAACTACCTATAAAAATACACGATTTGAGGACATAATAGTTCTGATGTTGTTACCTCTTCAAATCAAGTATTCGAATAAATTGATAATAAACATATTAGCAGGTTTGAAACGACCATACAGTGACAACTATTTCATCAATATTGCATTCCATATCCTACCCAACCCCATTGATATTGACCCCCAATAAAACATACCTTTCATCTTTCAAAATTTCCTCCTCTTAACAACTTATCAATTCTGAATAACTTCATTTAAATATTCCCTAATAATAATAACTACCTATAAAAATTTGATTTGAGGACATAATAGTTCTGATGGTACTATTGTTACCTCTTCAAATCCTGAAAGAATATAGGTAGTGGTATTCAAATAATTTGATAGTATGTATTGATATGAACCAAGATTAAAAATTTCCACATCAACTACATCTTTGTGTTCGTACCTGTCGATTTGGAGTTTTCAAAGTCTTCTTTGATGGAAGGCGGAGATGCCGTGGTCTCCACAGGAGTGGAGGAGTGCGGATGGGCGGGGGTGGCCACTCTTTCGGCCGATTCCCTGCTGGAACGTCCCGTGGCTGATAATGGGGGTGGCGGTGTCTTGCAACTTCTGGTCAATGCAAGCGCCTGGTTCTGCAAATCAAACGAAACGTATTTACGTGGGTAAGCGTTGAAAATCATTCCGCAATAGAGACGATGTTATTACGATCGCGTCTAATCTGGGTTAAGTGGGGTCAAAAAGCAAAATTCCTGAACGTTCCGTTTATCGGATCAGAAGGACCACAAATTTGACAAAAATCACGCTTCGGGTAACGATGCCATAATGATTATTTATGGGGAATCACGCCAATTAAAAATATTTAAATGTGAATTTAAATTATTGATTGGTGATAAATTTATTTAATGCATAAGACAATGATGCTTAAATTTTCTAAAATCCATTTGAAATTCTAATATTTGTTGATAATGATTCCCCGCTGGGAATTTAACCAGTTAATTTATTGTTGATTCAAAAATACCAAATTCAATAAATTACATATTATTATAATGTTTAAAGACCTAACAGACATAATTGCATTGACTCTCAAAAATTCTGGTTTTTATTTAATTAATTCGTTCGACACAATAGCGAAATGTTTTTTGTGCGCCATAAACATGATATTTATCAGTTAAATGTTTATAATAAAAATCAATACAACTGTCAGGATGTAATTTTTAAATTGGAGATGAAATTTGATAGATTTTATTCACAGTTAGGTTTCAATAAAATTATTTTTTAATTAATAAGAATTTCAACCTTTTGTTAATCTTGCAGACTTTGGTTTAGGAATCTGGATCATGTGACGAGTCCGGCTATATCTCAAATTCTACGAATCAGTGTGCAAAAAAGTCGTAGATATTTTACAGAGGGCCTTACACAAGATCAACGACCCTTGTTGCCGAATTTCTCATATGCCTTACACACGCTCATTCCGGCTCTATCCCAATCCTTTAGCGGTTTTACCCAACAGGAACACTTTACTATACGCGAATCGTTTTAATTTTATTATTATTTTATCTTTATTGATAAAAACATTTAAAACACAAATGTCTCACCCATGGCATGGTATGGCTCAAAGAACCATTCTGGGACCCCTTACATATTATCAAGATTCTAATTGTCTTGCATTGAATTGTCGTTATTGGTGCAATGAAACAATACAGCCACTAATAATAAATGAACTGGAAAATCAAAAAGGAGATGATGATGAAATAGCTTGGGATGAAAATTTATTACATTTTCAATACCACCTCATTATGTAGTAGCTGTGGGCTTGTCTGTATCAGAATTATCCAGAACAGTGAATTGGTAGAAGAGGACCAATACAATGGCCTCCCATATCTCCAGATCTGACATCAGTAGACTTTTTCTTATGGGGTCACTTAAAATCTGTGGTCTGCAAAACTCATTCTATTGACGAATGCCGAGCTATTCCACAACAAACATTTCAAAATGTTACTAGTCGAAGTTAAGTTGTGGAGATTTTCTTAAAAAGGTTATTTTCTTAATTTGCCGCTTATAAACATAATCTTTATCTTAAGGTTGATGAGCTTATTTAATTTTAAAGACAAGGCTTAAAAAACAAGTACACAAATGCTTGTTATATGCGGATTAAATGAATTATGAGTCATGCAGATTTAGTATAGATCTTATTTATCTGAGCTTGGGAGCTTAGAGCCCGAGAAAGCGCCCATTATAAAAGGGGAGACTAAGAAAACAATGTGATAGGGTTATGGACTTTTAAACTTCCACCCCCCGAAAATGTCTCCCATTTAAAACAATGTTTTTTAAGTTGAATAAGCCTTAATAAGGCCACAATAGTTTTACGTTGAATATTTTGACATAACAGATAGGATAAACGTGTTGACACTGTAAATTTAAATCTGTTTAATATAAGTCAAGATAAGAATTATACAGTAGTTAGATTAAAATATTGTCTCTGCTGATAACTTAAACGAAACCATTTTTGTGTTATAAACATATTTTATATACCTATTTTTTATTGCGCTGTTTACTTAAAATACTGCTGATATTACTGCAGGAAATTGTAACAGGATGCAGATACTGATTAGGGATAATCCTAAAAGTTACAGCCAAATCATAAAAGGGTTATAATTTATCTTTCTAAAAAATAATTCGTTAAATGCATTAAATATTTATGTTTATGTATATTATTAAGTAATTGAGAAGAAAATCACGTTTTAAAAAATTTTCTTTGTAATTAAATTGACCTGCAGTAATAATTAATATATGTGTTAGCCTCTAGGTAATTAAGCTATATAAATACATTGGTCGATATGGTTTAATATCAAATATTACTTTATTTTTACTTTTGTAATTGTAAAAAATACAAAAATGAGAATTATTTTTATAACTATTTATTATTTGTGTATTTGTGTATGTAAAGACATTTTGATTTATCCATGTCTTTTTCAATGTTAGTTAATATTTTTTGAGTAAATTTAGTAGATACTGTGGGGGCCTTTTAAGGTAGCCATAAAAAATAAAACATCATAAATATTTTGGAAAATAACGAAGAAAACTTAGTTGGAATGTCATTAACATTAGAAAGGCAATTTGGAAAACTTACCAAAGTTCAATTTATTTATTTATCTACTCCTAAATTGAAGAGCTGTGACTTTATGGCATTTTAGTCACGGGCTGAAGTTAGCTTTATTATAAATTACAAAAAAGTGAGGTTAAATTTTTCAAATGTCAAATATTTTTAAATTAAAATTGACTTTAAATTCTTATTTCTGTTCGTCGTAGATAAAGTGTAGTATGCAACTCGTATAAACTTCTCTAGACACTCGCAACTAAAATGGCGTTTATAAAACTTGATACATAATATACTATTATCAACTGCTATTGTATAATATTGTTTTTTTTTTCTGTAAATAATAAGCATTATAAATTCCCTGCCTAACAACGGGAATAATGAACTCATTATTCACGTTGTTAGGCATCAGTGATTGGCCGATTTCATTATTCACTGTGATTTGAACCAATCGGGTTTTAAATTGGGACCATTTGACAGATGTCAGATTTTATTTATTTATTTTAAAAAATCATTTAAATATTTACTTATAGGAGTAGATAAAGTATAGTATTACAATCAAGATTATACGCATTATTCACTTGGAAGATTTAAGTCTCTTGTCTGGAGACTCATCCTCGTGTATAATAGTCTGCATTATCTCTCTTATAATAATATATTATTATTTTTATATTGCAGTAATAATATTGGAGATTTAGAAAGTACCTATAAAAAATCTGGTTTTAGGTTATGTTCATAATTTCTTTATAGTTCGAAAATTGCGGTAAAGTACATACTAAAGGCGCGAATTTTAAATTTAAAACATAAAAAACTTTATAATACACTAATAAATACTTAAAATATGTGCCATTTCAGGTCACCCCCCTGTATAGTATCCCCAATCCTCCTAATAATTTGGTTGGTTTATTTCTACATACATATTCTATACAACATTTAGGTTCTACGTAAGGAATGTATTTATATAAACCTAATTGCTTAAATGATCGCAAGAAAAGTCAAATCTGGACTTCTTGGCGGCCAGAGAATTTCATTATTGGATAATTTTGTAAGACAAAATGTAATGCACGTGCATATTACTATCCCTCGGTTAATTAGGTTGTAATTTCCTTGTATCACCCCTTTTTCGGTTAAGGGCAATTGATTGTCGACCGTAAATGTAGTTTTGTGAAATGACCGGCATGATAGAATGCGACCGGTGGACTTTTTCATGTGGAACGTCGTCCGGGAAAAGCCATGCGTTTTTACCTGTCTCTGTTGGCGATTCCCTCTCACCTGTGAGTCTAATTTAACGAAAAACCTCCCCACGTATTGTTACTTATAAATATACCGCAATTTCATTACAGTAATATAACGATTTTTTTTATTTAGAAAACATTAGTTAATTGGTTAAAATTGCATATAATATAATATTTATATATTCAATATGAGGTTAGATAAAAATTTAATGGCTTTAATGTATTTTATTAAAGGTAAATACTAAGCATTGGATTTCAAAAAATAATCGATTCGAGTTTAAATTGTTTTTGCATCAGTCATAGAAAGTATTTTATAATATTCTGGTACTATCTTAAATATTGATGATTAAGTTAAATATTTTATTATGCTGATGTTTTGGTAAAATAATAAATTTATCAATAATGGCGATGAATAATAAGTATGGGAAAATTGTCAAATATTATCAAATAACGAAATTGTAAAGTAAACAAAATAATAATTATAAAATAAATAGGGGCATTGTCGATTTAAATAATTAATAAATTATAACCATAGTTGTAAAAAAGTTCGGATTTGAATAAACATATATTTTATAGCTATTTATTTATATTATACATTCACATGAAGTTTAATAATTTATTTAAAATATTAATTGTAGTAAATGGCTATTTCATTATTTGTTTTATGGGTTAAATGATTTGTGTAAAATGAATTAAAATATAATGCACAAGTCGAATGAAAAAAAATGGTTTAAGGGCTTTGTATTTAAACACAATCACCCTGTATGATAAGGATAAGGCTAACAATTTCCACAAAAAAATAAAACAAGGTTAACTTTTACGTAATGATGTGGTTATTCCTTTAAGGAATTATCTACCTAAAGAAAACTTAAAAAGTTTAAAGATTAACCTATAATCTTATTACCTGCTAAGAGGCGGATAGAAATATAAGGAAAAAATGACCTAGCATCAAGCTGTGACATAAACAAAAACATTTCAAATACCTTATGAAGGTTGCGCTTCATTTTGCAATAATGGGGTACCTGCTGCTGATGCTGCCGTATCAGGTACACAAAAATATGACTTTTGACACTTCGCTTTGTTAACACCATTAATCTTTTTATCAATTAAATTCCACTTTATTTAAACAGCCTCCGCTCAAGTACACAACATTTAAATTAATCGCTATTTGCATATGCATTTACTTTTTTGATAAAGTCTTTCTTAATTAAATCCATAAAATGTTATCTAATATTTTACCCCACATACATATGTATATGTGTGTGTGTGATTCGCATGATTTTCGCCAATTGACCTCAGCAATAATTTATTTGTCGTCCCTGTTTTCTAGGGGCATAGATTAAGTGATGTACTGTTTTTTTATTTTGTTAGGGTTAACAGCAAATATTGCGTGTATATTGAAGCAAACTCATTAGACATAATATGTTGCAAATTATAATTATAAAGTGGTGTGTAAATTACTTTTTAAACGTCAGATATCTATTTTTATATTATACGCATGAACATTACTTATTAGGAATTAATTTTATTTCTAATGTTAGTTAGAGTAAAACAGAATTATTCTATTATACATAATGGTCGTTTTACAGGGTAAAATAATAAATATTTGTGAGAATTATCCGATTGATAGCAAGCGGCTGATAACGTGATTTTTTGTTTATTTTTTGGAATTGATTTATCCTAATCAAACAAAACTATTTACAAAAATAACATCTTAAATTATAAAAATAAATAGATCGCACAACAATATCAAACCCTGTGCGGAGACAGGAGTTTGGCCCAGTGCTAAAACAAAACGGGGTGGATTTACTACCCTTAATAATGATTGATTAGTGACAGCGAATGTAGGTAAATGCATAAGTTGGCCATTTCCATCGATTGCTGGATTAAAGCCGTATGGCTAATCTAGGATTAACAAAATCTGGGATTAAGCCCGAAATGGATGGAATTTTAATGAAATAATGACTATATATCGGCACGAAGGGATTTATTTGTATGGAAAAAAAAAAATATATACATTTATTTTATAATACCTGGGTGGTGATGTCTGATAGTGGTGCACCTTTGGTGTTGGCAGCAACCCATGCTTCGGCAAAGGTTTCCATAGCACTCTGAAAGTCCATCCTCATTCAGGGGGCGCACGTTTTTAACCCGACAAAAAAAATTCAGAAAAGTTCGACTACTGTTTCATTACGGCAACAACGTGACTATCGCGTTGGAGCGACAGACGACGCGGCAACCACTTGGCACGGCCGCACAACAACGACTGAACCGTGCGGTCTGAGCGACGACGACGACGGCGGCGGCGGCGGCGGCGTAAGGACCCCAAAGCGCCGGACCCGTGCAGAAGCAACTCTACTTTTAGACTTTAACGCGCCACCCCTTGCATGCGCTTACCGCTCCTCAAAGACGCCTTACTTATACTGACGAAAAAAAAAAACACTGCATGTAAGCGGGCTTATAAAAATTTTTCCGACACCCCCCCCCCGCAAAACGCCCTCGTAAAAGAGTTAAAGTAACCGAAGAAAAAAATTGAAAATCTTGCAAGAAAGCTATTTGGGCGCTTGCGCTCGAAGCGTCGCGGCGCCAAATGAGTAGATGCGTAGGCGGGGCCGCAGCGTCCGAAGGCGGTCCCCGCCAAAGGTATCACCCACAACTAACAAGCAACTTATTCATCCCTACAGATTTCCGCATAAAATAAAATAAACTGATGTATACGACAGGTCCCGCATGCCGTAAGAATTTCTTCGCGACATTCGCTCGAATTTTTTCGTTCCTTATGGTTTTTCTATGATAATTTCGACAATTCGATGTTCTAACAATTTTATATACCCACATCTTTATTTTTATTTCCGAAAAAATCAATTTAACTTTTATCCCATACACCATAACACTGTGCGGAAAAATTTATTTTGTTGGAGTAAATTTTTAATTGACAATAAAAAAACTTTCTTAATAATTTATTAAAAGCCTTTAAAAAAAAAGTCACGGGCTGAAGTTGGTTGACAGTTGTCAAATGTCACGCCTTTCTTGTAAAATAATACTAAATGTGAAAATTATTTTATTATTTAAATAAGTACAAAAATACAACAGAATTAAAGGATTTAATGCTAGCAGGTAAAAAGTGACCATGGTGCGCAATTGATAATTATCACCGAATGAAATAATGCATAAAACTTGAACCAAAGGAAACTTAAATATTAGTTAAAAAATCGTGGGTACCTAAAAAATCAGATTTAATTTAATAAGATAATTATTACCAAAAAAAGTGATATTTTTATAGAAAAATTATTGCAGAATCGTATACAGAAGAAAAATCAAACAAAATTGTTTTTTTTATTACAGCGCCATCTATTACAAATCTATGTATTTTTAGTCGAATGATCCGAATCTGCAATAAAAAATAGGGTGTTCCATTGGAAATTTTAAAGTTACCCCCTGTTCCCCCTATAAGGAGGAGAGTATGAGGACCAATTTTAGTACAGGGTGATCCATTATAAATGTCCACCCCCAAGTAGGTTTTATAGTTTTATTAATAATTATTGTTATTGTTTATATGGTAAATATTAAATATTAAACAGTTCAACAAATGTGTTTCTGTGAAAATCACTCAATAAAGACGTCGAAACAAATAATGAAACGACGAATGAAAAAATGACGACCCATGGCCTAAGTGAAATTTCAGTTTTTGGCATTTTCTGCCATATATATTAAAAATATCCATAATGTCATATATATTTTTGAAATCAGCGTTTAAAGAGCTATCACATAAGGATATAAAATATAGGTCATTTCATAGGAAAAAAATATGTTTTTATCTGTTATTTTTTTTGGATCCCCCTGTATACGTAAACATAACACGAAAAAAAACTTTTAGTTGAACCCTACAACTTTTATATAAAACTTTTTTTTCTAAAATCTAAAGAAAAAAAGTTAGGGGGGGGTGGACATATATAATGGATCACCCTGTACTGATTGATTTCCCCCCTCGAATCATTTAATTTTTATTTTAAATATTTTTTCGTAAAATTCATACTAACTGAGATATTACAGTGCCCATAAAACATTCTCTTCTTTTTTACTGTGAAAAACTGCTTCCATATCGATTGTTAGACTATTTTCAAGGGATAAATTTTGATTTACACAGACAAATTTAAGATTTTAACGCAGGTTGATTCCCGAGTTAGAAATTCTAACGGGGATTCCAATAAATACAACTGTCACTTTTAATACCTTTAACAATTTTTAATACTTTCTGATAATATTTTAAAATTATATATAACACAGTACGACAAAATTTGATTTTTGGTCCCTCCCATGAAAAATTTCTACAGATTCTAAAAATAGAGTTAAAAAAATGATACCCGTGTCTCGGCGTTTTTTCACATCACGTCACAATTTTTTTTTAAGGGCTATCCAATAAAATGTTATTCACACTATTCGCGACATATTTTAATAGACTCGATAACAGCTGGACTGCATAGTTAAAAATATATATATTTACTAAATGGATAGGCAACCATTATAGATGCATTTTAAAATTATTTTAATCTTATACAGAGTTTTGCACATTTAAGAAATATATCAAACGGTTTACTTTTAAACCAAGTAACAAAATGTTTAAATTTTAAGCCAATCAAAATGCTTTAAAGTCGGGTGATTAAAGTTTTTATTTATTCAATTTTTTGTAAAAATTGAGCTTTGTTGAATTAACATTTTTAATACTAAAAATTAAAAGGTATTTAAATGAATTGATTTAAGCAAGTGTACCTAAAACATATTTAATTTAAGTAAAAAAATTATTTAAGTATACGAAGTCAATTGAAACAGCAAAAAAACAAAAAATTTACACATCTGCGGCATTTATAAATAAAAAGCATTGTTTTCAAAACAATCTTTATACGAGGGTCGGTCAACATTTATTTCATTGTTTTAATGTACTATATTAATGCGCCATGCACTTGATTGCACCCTATATTTCGTACTTTTTTTTAAATGTTAAATAAAAACATTATTGCAGCGATAAATCGATAAATTTTTCATATTAATTTTGATTGTTGAGTAAACCATCCATTTGAAATCAAAGTAAAAATGCAGTGTCCGAATCGAAATAATTTTTGTTATGTATGTGGTTTATTTGCACCTCCAAGCCATATGCGAAATATTACAAAAAGTGTAGTAACAGCTTTTGAAGGCTATTTTTTGGTGACGTATATACCAAACTTATGGTATGTACCTGAGGTTTTATGTGATTATTGTTACCGTTGTTTGCATGGATTGCAAGATAAAACACACAATATGAAATATGTTGCACCAACAATTTGGCTTCGACGTACCGAACACGCATCTGAACAGTGTTATTTCTGCATGTCAAAATTAAAAAGTTTTGGATTTCGGTACAATACTAGAGAGAAAATTGATTACGCCGATGTAGAATCCGTCATTCTCGCAAGAGTGCGATCTGAAGATTATCCAACTGCTCCTTCAGAAGACATATCTGAGGATAAAAGTAAAAGACCTTTAACACCCAGTACTACCATTTTTTCCGAGGTGGAATCTGAATTTATTCCCTGTAGTTCGGGTCATAAAGTACATTTTATAACCCAGGCTGATTTCAATGATCTTGTTCGTGATGCCAATTTATCAAGAACTACAGCGGAATTGGTTGCATCACGGCTCCGACAATGGAATTTAGTTGCCGATGACTTTAAAATAACGGCAAACCGAAAACGAAATATTTGCATGTCGTTTGACAAATATTTTGCTTCACATGAGGATTCTGAAAAGAACCTGGCTTATTGTGAAAACGTCGATGCATTATTCGAAGAAATTGGTCATCCTCATATTTCAGAAGAATGGCGACTCTTCATTGATTCCTCTGTGAATAGCTTAAAAGTAGTTTTACTTCATATTGGAAACAAGTATCCATCTGTTCCAATCGCCTATGCCACAAATATGCCTGAAAATTATGACAATATGAAGCTAATTCTAGAGCTAATACACTACAATCAGCACGAATGGAAAATTTGTTGCGATCTGAAAGTTGTGGGATTGCTGACTGGTTTAAAAAAAGGATATTGTAAACACCAATGTTTCTTGTGCACTTGGGAAGGCCGTAAGACAGAGCTGCATTATACTGATTTTACATGGGAGCCACGCATTAACTGTCAATTAGGTCAGTTAAGCATTGAAAACTTACCGTTGGTGGATGCAAGGAAAGTAATCTTTCCACCACTTCACATTAAACTTGGCCTGATACGCAATTTTGTTCGAGCACTGGATTCGTCCGGTGAAGCTTTTAAATTATTACATATAATTTTTCCAAAATTGTCTACAGAAAAAATTAAAGCAGGTACATTTCAATATAATTTTAGATTTATTTTTTAGTAACAACATTGTATGTTTCAGGTATATTTACTGGTCCAGATATATCAAAATTAATAAAAAATAATGAATTTTATAATTTAATGAGCATGATAGAAAAAAGGGCGTGGAATGGTTTCGTTGCAGTGGTAGATAATTTTTTGGGAAACAAAAAAGCAGACAACTACAAAGAAATTGTTGCAGAAATGATTTTTGCTTTTCAGGACATGAAAGTACATATGTCACTAAAAATACATTTTCTCCATGCTCATTTGGACCATTTTCCACCAAATTTGGGCGATTTTAGTGACGAACATGGCGAACGTTTTCACCAAGACATTTTAACAATTGAAAAACGCTTCAAGGGAAAAGACGTCAGGCATTTGCTGGGTGAATATTGTTGGTCAATTGTTCGAGATTCTGAAGCAATATATAATCGTCAAACTAAACGACCAAGATTTTATTCCAACATGTATTAAATATAAGATAAATACAAATGTGTTTCATTAAAAAAAAATAATAAAAAAAAATTATTTAAAAAAAATCAAAATATAAACTTTTTTTATACCTATTTGTTTTTTGTATTGTGGAAAAACATACAATATTTACAAAAAAATATATTTTTAACCGAGTAAAAAATGTACAATCTGTATAAGCATAAATAATAGGAATGACGGCTTAAAATTTTTTTATGACGTGATCTCGCAAAACTGTGAGACACGGGTACGTTTTTTTTACCTCTATTTTCAAAATCTGCTAAAATTTT